TGGAATAAATTCAGTTCCCAGCCAGAAAACAATGAAAAGAGATGAGCCTATTGCTCTTACAGCATAAATATTACTAGGAGTGATTCTGGTATCACAAGAAAAATAAATTAGAAACAGGAAGTGTGGTGACAATAAAAAATATCTATCTTGGTAGTCAAGAACCAGAATACCTTTATTACCCAATAGCACAAACCTTCTCACTCTGCCATGGTAAAGTGCACCAGCCTGGAGGAGTCACTCACAGCCAGACTGATTGCTGGAGTGCTGCTCCACAGACATCGAGGCAAGATTAGATCAAAATTTCGAGTCACTCTCCTTGCCATGCCTATAGGGATAATAATAATTACAAAATAAAGGTGAAACAGAAAAAAGCAACATAGATGGAGTCTTGTGAAGTAAAAACAAAATCTGAAGGAAGCAAAAACCATCATAGGAAAATCCATAGTTAAAATAGCTAAGAAAAATGGTTATGCAGAGGCAAGTTTTGAGATCCATCAGCACCCAAATGAGTTCTAGTTCTGAAGAGATGAAGATGGCAAAATTGCTAAAGTGAGGCATAAATCTGTAAGGGATCAATAAACATCGACTACTTTTATCTAATAACATGGATAACTTAGTACAGCATGAGGATAATTAAATAATTAAAATATACTTATGGCTAAACCAGATAATATCAAGACAATAATGTTTAGGATTTCATAAAGAAAACCATAACCACAAGATCTAGTAAAATGCCCAAGAGAACTGCCTTAGGATATCAGTGGAGCCCACATGAGAATAACTAGAAAATTTCTCCAGAGTAGGTGTCCTGATATAAAATACTAACAAGTGATAAATGCAAGGGGTTTGAAAAACTTCATAATAAGAAGTAGAATTAAAAGGAGAACAATATCACTAATGCCAGTCAACAGAGTTTTGTAGAAAAGCTATTAAACAAACCTGGGGCTTGCCCTTTGTGTCAGCAACCCCAAGCACACTAATTATTGAGGTTTCTACAAGGCACTTCAAACACGTGGCATTATAGACCAAATGAACAGTGCAGAATGCATTGCAGGAGTTAAAAATCCATTCAGTGAAAGACCTCACATTTTAGGGATTAAGTTAGTGCTAGATCTGAAGTACTTTTACATTGTTCTCAGTGAAGTGAAGCTCACAGCACTCAATGCTGGTGGAGCAGCAAACCCTGGTGGGAACGGAGTGATCCAGTTCAGCTGGTTCACTGCACTTGTTTCTTGAGAACACATTCTCATGCACACATTAAAAATGGAATGAGTGTTGGCAGAAAGCATATATGAAAATCCCAGTTAAAAGCAAATTATTTGTGCTCAAAGTTAAAAAGCTTAATCTTTTTAATCCTTTAAATAAGAAAAACAGACTCAATTCAATTGCAGTATAAAGTGCTACAAGAGGCCACACCAACAGGCCTTTCATCTTGAGGGTAATAAGGACAGCAATGTTTAGAAACTAAACCTAAAGAGCATACCAGATTTCATTTGAATTTACCTAACACTAAAGGTAACAGAATCTGAAACCAGTACAGACAACCCCCTTATCTCTTTCAGCTTTCAGGTCACAACTATACACAAATAATTACACAAATAATGAGGCAGGAGGTGACACACAGGAATTGCAGTATACTAAGTGGTCAGGCTATAGACCTTCTGTCTCAGATTTTACAGGAACAGCTGTGAGATCTAGCAGGATGCACTTCCAGGTATAACTGTATTCAAAAAATAGAAGTGTTTGAGGCAAGAGGAGGGGGTGTGAGCTAGAAAATGCTGCTCATTGCCCAGTCTTTGCTTAGACAGTCTGCTTATTTATTTTATTGTATCTTTTTGTTGGTTTTGGCTGTCTAGTCTTGAAGCCTTTTGATTTATCTGCAGAACTTCACTGCTCCTATAGACCGTTAAGTCCAGTATGTCATGGGGCAGTTATTGAGATGTTCTACATTAAAAGAATCTTTGTTTATGCAAGAAGGACTCATTCAACAACATCCCCCTGGAAAACATTTGGGAGAAGAGTTTGCCCTGTTAACTCTTTCCTTTCAGTTCTACTGGTGTGTATAAAGGCAGAGCTACAGGACATGAAGTTGGGGTGCGAGTAGAGACAGATTCTGATGAGGATTTGTGACATGGTGCCACACTTAAACACGAGTGAACAGAGGTCTCTTTGGGTAGGAAGTCAGACAGGAACGTAGGGATCTCCCAGGGTAAAATCAGGAGATAAATTAGTATAATTAACCCTCAGAACCACTTGCCTATGTATAGAATTGATTCATTTTAACTCAGTGATTCCAAGTCACCTCTCTGATGCATATATTGTAGCTCCACCAGCTGTTTGGGGTTTGTTTCCGAGGGAAATTGTCTTCCCAGAAATTCCTGTCTTACACAGGAGATGAGACTCTCTGATGATAGTTTCATTGTGGGTATAAAAGACATGAACGTAGGCAGCAGAGAATTCTTCCCCCTTCTTGTTCCACCCGGATAATGGCCTAAAGGCACTCAGGGCATTTATAACCCCACAGAGCAGTGAGTGAGTGGGGGATGGTGAGGCCACACCTTGAGTACTGTGTGCAGTTCTGGGCCCCTCAGTTCAGGAAGGGTATTAAAGTGCTGGTCCAGAGAAGAGCAATGAGGCTGGTGAAGGAACTTGAGCACAAGTGCCATGAGGAGAGGCTGAGGGAACTGGGGGTGTTCAGCCTGGAGAAGAGGAGGCTCAGGGGAGACCTTATCGCCCTCTACAACTACCTGTTTCTTTTTTTAACTTGACTTATCCAACAGTTAACCCATCCTCATGTGGACAAGTATATACTCTTTCTTCTCTACAGATTTTTTACTGCTTCAAGGTCAGCATGCGATAATCCTTCCTACAGAATCCAAACCATTCTGTTCTAAATGATGACTGATTAGATGTGCTCAGTCTTGTGTGACAAGTACATAATTTTACAGATGTTGGGATTTTGGCTTATTTGTTGCAACGGCAGAACACAAAACTTAACACCTTTTAGGGAAAACACAGCTCATTTTATTTACCTCCTCAAATAACTGCCTCCCTGGCTTACTGCCAGGGCCTCAGTAGAGCCTTTGTGCTCTTGTTCATCTCTGACATTTTTTCAAAAGCAATGGAATGTAGTTGTAGATGTCACAGATATCACAGTTCATTTACCTGCAGCTCAAGTATTTGATTTGCTTCAGTGGGTTTTCGTCAACTCCCCAGTGTCCTCCACCTGCTCATCTGCAGTGACTTCAACTCTATGCCAGTAGCTTACGTATATGAAATTGAACTCATGTTACCGTAACAAAAGTGTCTGTTCAGTGATAAACATCCAACTTGCAGAGAGTGCAGGACACTTGAGACATGACCCTATGTAACATATGGAACATCCCATTGCTTAGAGTAGGATTAATAAAAGCAGCAGAAGTCATCGTGGCTGGATTAATCCAGGCTCTTCTCTGCCCTTCTCTGCTCTTACATGGACAGACATCAGGCAAGGAAAGAATATCTGAACAACCTGCTGTACCTGATTTCATGTCGAAGCATACCCAGCAGCTGGAAATCATACCCTGTCTCCCAACTCCTCTTCAACTTCACTTCCAAGTGTTTACTGCTACATAAAACCCACAGCTAAGCTGAAGACTTCATACCCATCTTCTCCGACAGTCTGTTAATGCAGTGTGCAGTAAGGCAAATTATCTTTCAAATGAAATTTAATCAAAGAAGACATCTTATCCTTAGCAGACTTAAAGCTACCCTATTCAATTACTGACAAATGTGTCAAATATGTCCCTTAGAGGTCCTAAGGAAATAGAATCATAGCACCAAATATATATCAGAGAGGAAAAGGCAAGTGTTACTGTCTCCCCAAGAGAATAAAACAATGGCATGAGAACTGATTTCCAACCTTATCTAATAAAAAGGCAATTTGTCACAAGACCTTTAATACCCATTTGTTAAAGTAAGCCATAAACTTATTTATTGGCTTGACAGACTAGAAACACACGATTTTTACAGAGCTTTAATTACTAGGAAAATTGCACTATACCTTTCCTTCAGATTAAACAAACACCACCAGACAACCCTGCCTCCAAGATAGTAAGGCAAAGAGCAAGCAGTAAGCCACAGCTTTTCCTAATGCAAACAAAGAAAAAACCTCTTTGTCAGTGGAGTTCTACCCTTTCCAGTTTGCCCAGACTTGCCCCTTCCCTCACTGTATGTTCTACCAGGTTATTGACATAGCACGAGGTGGGTTTTTTTTGCTGACATACTAACACTAGACAAAGCTCTCTTTCATCAAGTGTTCAACTGTGCTCCAACACCAGGCTGCAGAAAACAGCAATGCCAGACAGTCTTCTATAGCTGGATTACAAACCACTGCTTCTCAGAATAAGAATCACAACATCCCCAAATTAAATCCGTTACTGGAATATCTACACTAAGAGTCTCCACGTAAACCAGCAACACAGAGCTTTGGTTTTGCGTCAAATCTACTATATTTGATACTTTCACTAAACTTGTGCCCAACTGGTATTAGAGACCCTGACAAAAGTAAAGAACTCGATGCCAGAAACAGCAGGTTTTTACCTTCCAGAGAAGTCAAGGTAGTTACAGTATTGATGAACAGTATCACTCGAGTTTCTAGATGGGGTTCAGTTGCAGTTTTAAACACAAACTCCATTTCCCAATAAACTCAAGCATTTTTTTTGCAGTGTATCAATTATTAGAAGAGTATGTTTCCTTTCATTCCATTTGATGCAGCACACACTGAAAAAGTCACCCAGCTCTACAGACTATTCAGCTGAACTCAAGACACAGCCAGCAAGTCTTACCAAAACTATGCATTTTGTAATGAGCTGAAACAAAGATAGATGTCCAGAGCTACACTTTCCTAACTACAAAGCTCTCTGCGTTGATTAGAAAGGGCTAGAAAGAAGCTGATAGC